GGGACAGGGGACACAGGAACCATCCTCAGGAGTCACCTGTGGGTACACACAGAGACAGGTGAGACAGGTGAGATAAGGGATACAGGGACCATCCTCAGGGATCACCTGTGGGGACACGCACAGGGACAGGGGACAGGTGAGACAGGGCCCATTCTCGGGAGTCACCTGTGGGGACACACAGGGACAGGGGACAGGTGAGACAGCAATAAGAACACAGCCAGGCAGGGCCCGTACTTCGGGGTCACCTGTGGGGACAGAGATGGACAGGTGAGGGTACACAGGACCAGGTGGAGTCCATCTCTGGGGGTCATCTGTGACAGGTGGGGACAGGTGAGGCAATACAGGGACACAAGGCCAGGCAGGGCCTGTCCTTGGGGCTCACCTGGGGACATGTGCAGCCAGGAGGGTTCAGGTGAGGTCAGGAGGGGACAGAGAAGACAGGTGGAGACGGAATAGGAGGGGACAGGAGGGGACAGGAGGGGACAGGAGGGGACAGAAGGGACAGCACTGTCACCTTGAGGTAGGGCAGGGTCTGCTCCCGGATGAGCTCCACGGTGAGGGGCGAGCGGGCAAAGCCGACGACGCGCGTGGCATCGGGGAGGAGCCCGTCCCGGAACAGCCACCTGGGGACAAGGGACAGCGCTGTCACCTGTGCCACCTGTGTCCCCAAACCCCCCCAGGGACACCGGCATCGGGGAGGAGCCCGTCCCGGAACAGCCACCTGGGGGCAAGGGACAGCGCTGTCACCTGTGCCACCTGTGTCCCCAAACCCCCCCAGGAACACCGGCATCGGGGGGTGCCCATCTCAGAACAGGCACCTGGGGACAAGGGACAGCGCTGTCACCTGTGTCCCCAAACCCCTGGGGACACCCCCAGCACTGTCACCACCCCACCCCAGGGACAGCAGCCACTGGGAGCAGGGAGGAGCCTGTCCCAGAACTGCCACCTGAGGGGACACTGATGTCACCAAACCCGCCGGGGACACCCCCAGCACTGTCACCACCCCACTCTGGGGACACCAGGCCTGAGGTGACACCAGTGTCACCAACCCTCTCCCAGGGGGGTGACACTGGTAACTGTTACCTGGGAGAGGTAACACAGGGACAGGTGACACAGAGGGGACAGAAACAGCAGAGGGAGGAACTGGGCACACCAGGATCATACTGGGGACATTGGTGGCCCTGGGGACACTGGGGTCATACTGGGGACACTGGTGCCAGCTGGTGACACGAGTAGCCCTGGGGACAGCAGGGACACACAGCTGTGGTGACACTGGGGACAGAGCAGACAATGGCAGCACTGCTGACCGGTGGCACTGGGGACAGCAGTGACTGACGTTGGTGGCCCCAGTGGCCCTGGGGACAGCAGTGACCCCAGAGTGGCCCTGGGGACCCTGGCAATATCGATGACCTTGGAAAGAGGTGGGGACATTGGTGGCCTTGGGGACACGATGGCCTTGGTGACCCTGGGGACAGGAGGGACATTGAGAGCCCTGGTGACCCTTATGGCCTCAGAGTCGGGGCCACATTGGTGGCCCTGGTGACCCTGGGGACAGGTGGGGACATCGATGGCCTCAGTGACTCTGGGAACAGGGAGTGGACCTTGGTGGCCCTGGAGCCATTGGTGGCCCTGGTTGCCTGAGTGGCTGTGGGGACATTGGTGACCAGTGGAACACGGGTGGCCTTGCCAACACCA